AGCCAGCATGGCTGGCTGGGGAATTCTGGGAGTTGAAGTCCACCCAGCTTAAAGTCGCCAAGGTTGAGAAGCCCTGCTTTAGCAGCACCGGTTGGAGTGGAATTCATCAGAGGCTTTGTGCAGGATTAGGAAATGGCTGTGAACAACCCAACCCTCCTTCTTGACTTCTTAGGATGAGGAAATCAGGGCAGGGAGGCAAAGAGAAGGCGGAAGAGCTCCTCACCGCAAAAATATGTTATTGCATTGCTTGCGAATATATGCACGAAGGCCCAGGAATTTGCCATAAACCCGGTGGAGGATGGTCTTGAGGTATTCACGTTCCCGGGGGTCTTCGCTGTCAAACAGTTCTAGCAGCTAGCAGCGGGCGAAAGAGGAAGGGAAAAAGATGTTTGCAAAGGATTCGGAAGGCCCGGTTCCAGTTTCATGACCTCAGCTGCATTTAGATCTAACCTCATGGGCAAGGCCAGGACTTTTTTTTTTTTGGCCTGGCCCCATTTCTCACTTTTGGGGAAGCTGCGTCCAGCATATAATTCAAAGGCCAAATCTGCCTCCTGCCTAAAAGGTTGCGTACCCCTGACCTCCCTTGATATGATGGTCTACTGACACTCTACTTGGGTATTTGGATCCACAGAATAAAGCAAGGGGGCTTATGCCCTGGTGGTCTCCCATTCCAAGCACCTCTGAAACAGTGCCCTGGAACCCATTCTTCTTCATTTAATATTTATTTCTTACATTTCCACCCCAAGGGCGCTCATGGCAGCATATGTGGGGTCAGTCCTCGTGTGTGTGTGTGTGTCTGGTCCAAAGTCACCCGTGAACTCTGTGGTCAAATGGAGATTTGAATCTGGTTCTGTCCAGCCTAACACTTCAATCACTGTGAACAGAGCAGTTCTTTTCTGCTCGTCAAGGTCACAACTCCACACAAACAGAACGCCGAGAGCATAAGGTGGGCACTCTCACAAAATGGCTTCTCCTGTTCTGGACAGGGATGCCCTTCCCAACCATGGTTATTTTCTACGAAAACACCTGAGGCCCACCTGAAATCTAGAAGAACATTTGGCAGGCAGAACATTTCATGATCAAAGTATTCCAACCTTGAATTTGACTGTTCAGCGACCCAGGATCAAGGACCGGCCGTACTGGGAGTAGTCTCAATACAGAAGGCCTATTTGCAATTAAAACTTTTTAACTGCAAAATGTTAGCAAGCATTCCCAGAAATAGAAGTAAGGCTGAAGTTGGCTTTTTTTCTTTTTCTTTTTCTTTCATTTGTCTTTGCAGCAGGCAGAGAAAACAATATTTTAATTCAAATCATCTAAAATAATCAGGCAGCAGAGAGTCTGGGTACTACACTGCCCATCTTGGATCTAAAGAGCCCAAGCTGCATGGAATATTGGGGAACTTCCACAGAGCAAAGAAGAGAACTGCCCCCATGCTCCCCAGCCAGAAAACCCTTCCCTCACCCCTCACTTCCTTCACTTACCATCAATACGAATTTCTGGTCTATGTAGCGCTTGGCAACTGAGGGTTGGAAGTCTGGACTTTCAAGGAATCGGAGGAAAAATTCATATACAAGCTGGAAAGAGACAGAGACAGCTGGAATCCATCAAACAGAACTCAACTTTCTGCATCCACCAGTAGGCAAAGCTTCAAAGCCTTGGAAAGGTGGAGCGTGCTATGCCCAAACAGAGCTGGCCCTTTCTCCCAGCCAGAGATACGTCCAAGCACACGTGCTGTTACTCAAGGGGACATCTTCACCTGCTGGCCTTCAGAAAGACTCTAACCTGGAGATGTGGCCAAGAAGGTTCCAGGTTGGGCTCATCTTCTTCAGGATCAAACTCAGGGTTCTCACTGGGTGGAAGAATTCGGAAAATATTGACTGATATCTGCAGGGAGAAGGGAGAGATCAGCCAAAGCCCAAAGCATCCCTTCGAAGGTGTTTTGAGCCAAACAAAACAGACTCCATCCAAGCTTCAGCTCTGTAGCTAAGTCCCAAGAAGAGAGGTTTGTCCACGTTCCCCATCCTGCCTTCGGCAAAAGCCAGACAAATTCCCCAGAGTAGCCCCCCAAAGAGCGGAAGACCTCCTAGCTGTTCTCCGGCAGGAGACAAGCCAGCAAGAGTCCCATTCTCTCAGCATGTGAAGCCCCAACCCAGGTTAGCAAAACACAACTGCTCTCTTTATCAACACGATGCCCGAATCAGGTGACCGTATTTTGGCCGAGCTGATGGCCCAGTTCACACAGCACGCCAAGATCATGACTTGGCTTCCTCCCGCACTCGGAATCACAAACTGCCAGGGCCCATTTTAGCCTGGTCTAGTGTGTGGACTGATCCCAACCAGATCTTCCCCCAAACCCTGGCTGCATCTTCCGGCACGTGGGGATAAGGCGGCCTGAACTCTCTGCCGCGCAAGTGGCTTTTTTGGCTAGGAGCAAATACTGAGCTGATGAACAGCCGAAGGGGTGGCACTGGTGCTGGTCAACAAGTGGAGGGATGAGCCATCCACACGATGGGATCTTCTCCCAAGGATGGATGACGGCAGCTGAAATGGTCCTACCAAGCAAATGCCTTCTGTGCTGGCTTAGATGCAGGAACCTCCTTTCAAACCAAAGTACGTGGCCCGGTGAGTTCGGTTGGGGCAGCTCTGCCACCATCCTGGCTTGTTGGCTTGGCTTGTGCTGCCAATTTTTATTTTTATTTTTTGCTAGTTGGCACTGGGGGCGGGCACATGCAGAACAACGCAGCAGCGAGGCATGGGACAACAGAGAGGTCAGAAATTGCAGCCACTGAGACACGATATTTTACTGCGTTACTGTAGGCAGCATATTTATGCTTTTGTTAACCATCTTTTTTTTTTGGTGCCTCCAAGTCAGGGTTGACTCCTGGTGACTACCTGGAGTAGTCCCTGCAGTTTTCTTGGCAAGGTTTTTCAGAAGTCACTTGCCATTGCCTCCTTCCTAGGGCTGAGAGAAAGGGACTGGCCCAGGGTCACCCAGCTGGCTTTGTGCCCAAAGCGGGACTAGAACTCAGAGTCTCCTGGATTCTCGCCTGGTGCCTTAACTGCCACACCAAACTGACTCTCTTAATCCTCAACAGGGTCATCTTAATTTAATTTTTAAATGATTATTAACTATAAATATTACAATATTTTAATTCGTTTATTTAATCGATCAATAAACATTGACTATTTGTTGAATTTTTGCATGTGTGTGAATGCAGCCCACTAATTAACACATTTTATGTAATGTGGCCCCGGCATTCATTTGAGTTTGAGACCCCTGTTCTAAACGGTTGGAAGACCTGAAAGATTAGATTAGATCTCCAAATAATTTAACTGACAGAGAGTCTTCTTAGATTCCCTGAGAACACATTCTCAGCCTTATCTTTCTTTTGGCAGCAGGGTGTGTGTGTGTGTGTGTGTGTGTGTGTGTGTGTGTGTGTGTGAGAGAGAGAGAGAGAGAGAGAGAGAGAGATCTTCATTTCAGGATTACCGTCCTTTCGATAAGTGCAATGCAATAATTTTATCTTTTCACTGCATGTTTTATTGTGGCTCTTCCCTCTTACTTTCAGAAGAAGAGCAATGGATCGATATAAAAACCAGGAAGGGAAGAATAGTAATACAATTTCAAGTTCCTAGCCCCTACCTCCCACCCCCCCACCCCCGGTTTTTTTGGGCCAGTCTTTTACCATCTTGATGATCTCGGGATACAGCGGCTCAATTAGGATGCCACGGTTTGTGGCCACGCACTCCACCAGTTCGTTCAGTGCCGCCCGCTTGATCTCCTTGCCCTTCAGGTCAGCGACGCAGTCGAGGAAGTCAAAGACGATGGAACACTGCTGTAGCTTCTTGCAGAGGAGGTCGTGGAGGTCTGAAACTGGAGCATCTGGAGGGAGGAAGCAGAGGCCCCGTGAGAATTCATATGGGGTCTCATATGAGAAAGCAGAGGCCCAAGAACTGAACCGCACACTTGACTACCCCTTCCACTTCCTTGCAACCCAGCGTGGGGACATGACTGGAGCAACACGTGTGATAAATCTTTTCCCTCTCTTCCATTATTTTTGAAGGGAACGGCCACAGCTGTTTAGCAGGCCAGTAGCTTTGTATACAAAAGATCCTGGATTCAACCCTCAGCAGTGTCAGAAATGCAGCAGAAGATTCCTGCTCAAAGCTTTGGAGATGCAGATGAACGTGTGGATCCGTGCGAAGGCGCCACAGCTCAGAACTGCACTGAGAAGGCTGCACGTCTAATCACACAGATGAGAAAGGCCCTCTCTATATCCCTGGAGCTCAAGCAATATTAAGCAACAGAAATGAACAGAGTATTTTAATTACAGGTAGTCCCCAGCTTAACAACGAATTCCGTTCCCAAGGCCTGTCCTTAAGTCGAATTTGTCTGTAAGCTGGAACAGTATTATTGTATGATACTGTATAAGTAGTATTGTGTCTTTAACTCGAATTTTGCTACAATAGGCTCCGTTCTTAATGATGGGTCGTCCGTAAACCCGATGTTCTTAACTTGGGGACTCCCTGTACGGTGCTTTGATGGAACATAAAATGGTAAAATTATAAAATGGTAATTACCTTTATTTGCTAGTACTCTCTCTGATACAAACACGATAATTAAAAGATGAGCAAACTACAAACGCACATTTTTCAGAGTTGCCAGTATCTAAAGTCCATAGCAAACCGCTTCCATGCGGCTGCCGAAACAACTCCATGGATGTGCCCAGAAAGTCTCCAGAAGCTCAGCTCAACTCAGACTTAACTGACCAATTCCTACAGTGAAAAATCTGCTAATGATCATTATCTCTTGGGCGGTTGGTATAAAGGGTGTAGCCCATCTGAAAGAAATTGGCTGCCCCAATAGGTAACCGTACATTGCAGATACAACTGACTAAGCATCTATAAATATATTATAAGCCTATATTGCAGACGTATGTTTACATTTACATTTGCAGGGCAATTAAACTCCCCAAGAAGCTGAAATGTGATCCTCTTGCACGGCTTCCAGGGAACTCGGTTGCTTGACCTTTCCTGCTTTCCCACGGCTTAGCTCCACCGCCGATCTTCCATGGCCTCTGCAAAATTTCGCTCTATTTTCAGCGACTTTGTTCCTTTCTTAAAATAGGGCCAGGACGCTTCAAATGTTTACAAATCTCCCCGTACAAACAGAAAAACACCAACGGAGCTACCAGCAAAGCCTCGTGTGCCTGAAGTTAAAACACGCTGGATATGCTATTTCCCTCTTCCCACCCCCAATATTTCAGTTCACGTAGGGGGGAGAGGGGTTTTTAAGATATGCAGGCATAAAATCCAAAACCTGGAAGGGGTCCTTGAGGCGATCAAGCCCAACCCCTGCTCAGTACAGGAATCTGCATCGTAACGATCCAGAGATGAGTGCCCAGCTTGTGCTTAAATATATCCAGCAAAGTTTTTTTAAATTGATTACGTGCCATCAAGTTGTTTTCAGCTCCTAGGAACCACCTAGACAGATTTTCTCCATGATGATCTGTCCCCAAGTCTGGTCTTTCAGGTATCCAAGCAAACAGGAGCTGATAGATTTGGGAACTTTTGCCCAACATTCAACTGGAATCTGTCTTCCTGCGAGTGGGAAGTTTATCCCTTGTTGTCCTGTGCTGTCCTCACTGCGACTTCCCTTCAGAAATCTGCAGACTGCCACCACAGCCTTCTTCTCCAAGTTAAACATTTCCAGCTGTCTCCGTGTCTCTCCTCCTAGTTCCCTGATCACCTTCTCTGCCCGTTTTTGAACCTGCTTCGATTTGCATGAATTTACATTTACAAGAATCCTCCTTAAAACTTCCGCTTCAAAGACGGCGCGGGATTTAGAGGAGGCGACCGACCGGCGCAGAAGACAGTGGAACTAAAAATAAGTTTGCCTTTTTAACAGTCATCTCCCACTGCTGATTCCCATTCCGCTTGTGACCAAAGGAGCTTTTTTTCACACACATCTGTTACCAAGCCAGATGACAGTTCCCCTTTCAACAGCATTATGTGGGTTTCTGTCTCCTAAGTGAAGAATGTTACATTAGCATGTCTTAAATTCCACTTGATTTTCAGCCCAATTCTCCAACACAGTGTTTCTCAACTTTGGGCACTTGAAGATGGATGGACTTCAACTCCCAGAATTCCCTAGCCAGCATGGCTGGCTGGGGAATTCTGGGAATCGAAGTCCACCATCTTCAAGCGGCCAAGGTTGAGAAACACTGCTCTAACAGATAAAGAACATACCTTGTGAAGCAAAATTTTTGAGAAGGCTGTTTACTAAATGCCCATAAAAAAACAGAATACTCCTCCGTTAAGAAGAGCAGAAAACCTTCTGAGTCAAAGCTGCCCAGATAACTCCTATTTTTCAGGGTGGCACCCTGAGACACCCTGTCTAACACTTCCTTTGCCCCCACAAAGTTTCTTCATCCAGAAAATCTCCTCTGAACTGACCTTCCTGTTGATTACACATGCACATCCACGTAGCCTTCGTGGTAGTACTATGGAAGCCGCTTGCCCCATCTTCTTCTGAGATGTCTAGCCCATAAACCTGGCATTTCTTGGTGGCCTCCCATCCAAGCAGCCCCCAGGCCCAACCCTGCTTAGCTTTGAAGCTCAGATGTCCTCTCAAGGTCGCTACCAGCTGAGGCTCTCCAAATAATCAAGAAGGAAGGAGAACATGGTGGAAACATGTCTTTGACTGAACTAAGTTCTAGCTTTCCTAGATAAAACTTTTTTTTCCTGAACAATAAACAAGGCCATCTCTTGCTATGGATGGGGAATCTTTGAACATCTGGAGCCTACAGTCCCAGTGTCTCAGCTAACCTGCCAATGGCGAGGGGACAACTTCTGGAGATCCACAAGTTACTCATCTATTTTTATTTAATGCAAGCTGGTCCATCTGACCATGCTCCAAACAGTGGAGGGCAAGTAGAGCTGATTTTAGAGGGCAGAAAACTGTAATTACATTCATTAATCACAGCGAAAAGGATTGCTCGCCATGCAGCAAGTCATTCCCCCTGTGGTCCTCTTAAGTGGGATAATTCTGCTGCCATTTTTAGAGAGCCCCACCAGGGTCTGCAGGGGGAGAGGACTGCAGGTTGGAGAACCTGGTCCCAGAGACTCCAGGTTGGCCATTCCAGAGACACCAAGGAATGGCCAACCTCAGTTCGTCACCAGCAAGCACGAAAGAGCAAGGAGTAAGGCAGTGTTTCTCAGCCTTGGGAACTCGAAGATGTGTGCTGGCTGGGGAATTCTGGGAGTTGAAGTCCACACATCTTCGAGTTCCCAAGGTTGAGAAACACTGGAATAAGGGATGATGGAAGAGCAGAGCCTTGGCTCTGACTGAGGCACTGTGGGCACGATGCCACCATCTCCTGCTTTCTCCACTCTCCGATGCCCCTTGGGGCACAAAGCAGCTCTGGGAGTTCCAGGAACTGTAACCATGGCAGCTGGGAGGCTGACGGCTTACATCAAGAAGAGGAGACTCCTGCATTGAAGAACCAGCAGGGACGTGGTAGGATCAAATGACCTCTCCAAGAGGACCAGGTTCCCGTAGCAGGGGATCTCAGGAGAACGGTGGCCACATCTGGAGACAGGGAGCCAGGAGCACCCATCCTCCGAGACCCGGAGTTCAGAAAAAGCTCGCCACTCTTCCCTCCGCTTCTCACGGAGAAGACCAGAAACTAAGGGGGCAGAACGTTTGCCCTGGATAATGCAAACACATCATGGGGGTTTACGGACTTTCCCCAAACCACGGGCTCCAGATCTGCTTGATTTCAGGGTTATGGAGAGCTCACCCCTCTGGGGAGCACCAGGTTGGAGAAAGAGGCAGGAGCTGGTTGGATGGTAACGAGACCCCTTTTTAAAAACAAACGAACAAAAAAATCTGCTTTTTCAGATGTGGGCTTGCTTTTCTTTGGAGAGGAACTGATTTTCCTTTTTGTTTTTCTTCCTGCCCCCCAAAAGGGCAAAATGTTTTTTAGGTTTCTCCTGTTTTTTTAAAAAAAACAAAAGAAGTAATTTGTTGCGATGAAACGCCAGTTTGCCATCACCTTTTGTTGTTCCAACTGGGGTGGGGCACAGCTCCATATATCTCTGCGTGTGTGTGTGTGTTAAAATTTGTGTGTACTTTGTTTTTATACGTAGCAAGTTTGGTTATTTATTTGTAATATGTTTGGTTATTTATTTGCAATACGTCATGTGTTTAATGGCCGTTAGGTTGTTTAGCAATCATTAGGCTTTGCGTCTCCGCCAAGAGTTCATCAGTGAAATGATTTCCTTTCTATCATTTTTACTAGCAATCAATAAGAGCAGCTCCCCCACCAATCCCAGCCAAATCCCCGCAGCCCCCTCAGGAGCCTTCGAAAATAATCCCTTAAGTAAGATGCTGCACAGGATCCAGGACCCAGGCTGGTCCTTTCTTGCAAACACACCTGTAATCTGAGCTTTTCCAGGAGCCAAGCTAGACCTCTGACAGTGCATTTATTGGCCGGCTCCCCTCGCCCCACCTGCTCAAGATACCTCAAGACTGTGACAGAGGAAGCGGCATTAACCGAAGCCATATGAAAATAGTCAATATTGTCCACTCTTGACTCACAAGAGCGGCGAGGATTATTACTCCTGTCACCTACTTACGGACTGATCCTTTTAAGCAGAAGCACCAAGGCCTCAGAATCGTTTGTGCACGCTGATTTGCCACCCATCTCAAGAACACCGAAGTCTTTACCGACGTGGAACCATGGTCCACCTAACTAGGTTGTCTCCTGCACTGGCAGCTGGTTTCCAGGGTCGATTCAGGTCTTTCTCATCATCTCTTTCTCATCATCTTTTCCCAAACCATGTCAGAGACTGAGCCGGAACCTCCTGGCTGCATTCCCAGAACACGCTAAACCCAGGTTCGCACAATGTAATTGCTACGTTCACACAAACCATGCCTAT